TCATTGATCATTGATTCCTTGCTCTCGTTTTTTACATACGTGACCGGCTACGTATTCGGTATTGTATAGAATACCTAGGCAAAGTATAAAACAAATAATATTTCATACACATCCTACACGTTTTAGATATTCTACACATTACCTAGGTATTGCAAGTTATTGCAAGTCGTGTCAGTCGTATCCGCTTCCACCTTCGATTTTTTTCAAAAGCAAATTTCATCCAGATCGGTGCAACTAGTCGATTGTTTTAACATCCTTATAGGAAGCAGTTTTTGGGTTTAGTCATTCAAACAAATGAATCGAGATTAACTTGAATGGGTATCATATTCTAGTATAAATAGCGTATCAAGAACATATTTCAGTCTGCTTGACAGGCAGCCCACCCTCCATGTAGGAATTGTTTGTTTCGAAAGGTTGAAGCAAATAAGTTGAAACACAGTTCAGCCAGATACTTGCCTCTGAAGAAATGATAAAAAACTTACACGTATCGCCATTGTGCTTTTCGAGAAAGGATATTTCTTCGACTCTGAAGAGGTGTAAGGGGAAAAATTAAAGTAAAGATTAACACGACTTGTAATAGCAAATCTTTCGATCCATTGCGCTTGGCTAACAGAGGGTCGACGCATAAGGCATAAATACCCAACTTCTAAGCATTCCGGATCCTTTGGAATGCTTTGAGTCGAGTTAGTGCAATAAAAATATTTGACTAGCACCGATTGGAGAAAAAGTTTGGAGTAAATCCACCAGAGTCTTCTGTCCCATACTGACAGATATGCTATACTAACGCTTGGGTACCAGGTATATAACATTTTTAAAACAACCCACGCACTGCACGATAGAGAATTAAAGTCAAGCCTGATGTGATTTCATGAAGGACCAGAACCGGCGATATCAAAACACTCCCTGGGTGATTGTGTACCAGCACAACCTCAGTATTTGATTTACATTATCGATGCAACCATAAACATTACTGCACACGGTGAGGTCGCAAACGTGGATCTATTATGAGAGACTGTAGCATGACCGTGGACAATTGGGCATCTATCGTTTCGACAGTGCAATAGAGGGTTGCTTTTTATTAAAATATTCTTGTAATTCTTAGCGGTTTATAGGAAATCCTCAAGTACATTTTAGTTTGAAAATCTGATGTCTGGTTTGAATCCGTCGTCTAATAAGGCCAAAAATTGTATGGCCAGCCAACTCCACCAGTGCAACTACTGGAACAATTGACCGCATACTTCTTTGGTTTAAGAAAAAGCTCAACCAGTGAGCTTATGGCGATTTTCTTAGGCCCAGCAGGGTTTACGATGTCAAGCCGTTCCTCTGTGGAAGTTCCTTTGACCCTATTGAGACATTTTACGAAAGATATGAGGGTAGCTTTTTTCTGGTCGTGGTAGTCGTGTTTTGGTCATTATCTAAAATTTCACCTTACCCAAAAGTGCTTTTACTTGACATGAGTGGCTTCAATTCCATCATGCTAAAGAGAATATAAGAGGGCTAGGGAGTACAGCTCTTTCATTGACGATCGGCTGCTGATCTTGCGCTTTTTTATCCATATACCATCGGCTGTTAAATTTGCAGAACTAAATAATTCTTGCTTCATTTATACGTTACACCTCCAGTATATGCAGGGTTTGTCCGGAAAGTCTGAGTCGATTAAAAAAAAAATTGAGCCAATCGTTACAATTCTTTAAAAACTTTCAAAATAGGCTCCATCCGCGTCGATGCAGCGCTGCCAGCGTGATTTCCAAGCATTGAAGGATTCACGGAAGGCATCCTCCGGAATAGCCACTGTTCCTTTTAAACCAATTATTTTGTAATCGTGTGACGAATAAAGGCCATTTATTATTATTATTATTATTATTATTATTATTATTATTATTATTATTATTATTATATTTGAAGTGTGCTTCGGGTCATTATCTTGCTGGAAGATTGATCTTAAGGGCATATTGTCTTGCATATAGGGTAAAATGATGTGCTTTAGTATGTCTCTGTATACAAACTTATCCATAATGCCATCTATTCTATGTAAAGGTCCCATCCCATACCCCGAAAAGCACCCCCAAACCATAACAGACTCGCCTCCATGTTTGACAGTGGGCAAAGTGTACTTGGGATTCAATCTTTGTCCATTAGGACGTCTAACGTAATGAACACCATCATATTGAACTTGGATTTTTCACTGAAACATACCCTCTTCCAGTCACAGATGCTCCAATCAAGATGCAAATTTTAATCGGTTCTTACGGTTTTTCCTCGAGATTAGCGGCTTTTTAATCGGGCGACGTGCAAATAACTTCAAACCATTCAATCTTCTACTTATAGTTTTCGTAGAAACACTGACAATTCCTTTTGTCTCGATTTCGGCTTTTATTTGTCTTGGGGTTTTAAACGGATCTTTGGACGAAATTACTTTTAATAATCTAACTGATCTAGCATTTAGTTTTCTAGGCCAACCACTTCTCTTAGAGGCTTCCAAGATACCTTTTTGTTTATATTTGTTCCATATTGCCCAAGCTGCTTTACGCTTCAGCTTCAAATTTTTGGCAATGTCGATTTGACGTTGACCATCTTTGTATAACTCAATGATCTTAGTTTTCACATCAAAATAAATTTCTGGACCACGCGGCATGGTCTTAAAATCACTCAACATAATGTTGAAAATAATTTGCCTACGTACTCTTGTCCCTCATAAAAAAGTGCTCATATTCAAACTTGTGTTCATTGCAGATAATGTAATAACAAGGAATTTAGTTTTTCTACTAATAACGCATTTGTTTATGGAGCAATAAAGTATGAATTCGTTTTCTAAATGTATTTAGGTAAATATTCGTATTTGTCTATATACTTTTGTCCATTACTGTATGTCAGTTACTGGTAGGAATACAGCAGGATAACAAACAAAGTAATGCAACTAACTGAGCCACATTCTTACATGTTTGCTTGATATATGACTAGAATAAATCATAATTTCGCGCCGCTTCCGACACCGTAATAAATCCTCATAAATAAAATGGTCACAATCGATATTATTACGAACGACATTATTAATAATAGTGAAAACAGAGAATCGAGGCACAAGCCTTGAGGCACACCTGAACTGGGAAATAACTCCTTGGATTTGCTATCTTCGTACTCAATGTGCCTCTTGGCTGAGACATATGATCCAAAGGGTGACAGTAAGCTAGAATAAATATCACCATTGTCCAATTTCTTTAATAAGATGTGGTCAAATTTGTCAAAGGCTTTACTGGAATCGGTGCAAATGACCGTCGGCATCTAGTACTCTAGAAACAAATTGAGTGACTAAATTGGTTGTAGTAGATCTTCCATAAAGCTTGTTGCGATGCACTTATATTGGGCTGTACGTTATGAAATAAGCTTAAGAGAAGTTACAGACTAACGTTATTGGTGCATAATGTTCAGCAAGTAGTCTATCGCTTGTCTTGAAAACAGGACATACGCCAAACATCTGGCACTGTTAGAGGTTGAGAGACGACTGAAGCACAGTAACAAACTAGAAATGGTGAATTGCTATCTGGCCCATAGGTGAAGTTATTTTTATTTTCAGTACCTCAGCTACTTGCTCTCGGAAAAACTGTGGTATAATGCAGATGTCGTTCAGAAATATTAGTGACGTTTGAAGAAGCTCCGTGAACGGGCTAAAAGGAGTCTGCAAATGCATTAGCAATATTATCAGGCTTCATTATCATATTTTACTTCGGTGGCTGTACGATCTTGTCTCTCTTTCTTACAGATAAGACCAGAATTTATTGGGAACACGTCCTATGCTATTTTGTACTTGGGTGAGATACTTTTGATGAGGTGCGCACATCTCTTTTAATGTTCGTTATTAGATCTTCGAATTCATTATACAGGGTGTTTCAGTTTATTGTTGCATAACTTTAAGATTCGACAGAACCTTTAAAATTAATGCATAAAGTCTATATAAACATGGATCGAAAAATGCGTGGCTTCCGAAATACAGGGTGTTTAAATTTACTTTTTAAAATAGTTTCTTTTTACATATTTCGAACAATATTTGATGCATAACAGTGAAAATTGGTATACATGGATTTTTTGGTACGACAAAACGAACGGTGGGCATAGTTTTACTGTAGCCGCTAGAGGGCGCTCTCTACTGTACCTGTAGTGTATTCAAATGACCGAAAATCTTTTCTTAGTGCAATTTCTTGCTTTTTGAATAAATAAACTGATTCCTCGCACTTTTCTGCATAAAAAAGGTCTCGCGTAAGTTTTCGTTGAAGTTAGCCGTTTCTGAGATATTTCGATTTTTAAAGTTCCATGCAATTTAAATTATTTATGGGAAAATAATATTTTTTTTACATTTTCGATTTGGGCATTACAGGTAATAGAGATGATCATTTAGATTGTGTTTTTAAACACAGCAATAATTCCTAACTCCAAATAAACACAATAAACAGAGTATTAATTTGTTTAATTTTCCAATATTATTTTTAAAACACTTTAACTGCCATGTGCGTCAAATTGGCACACACGGCCTCTACACTGAACGCCATATGCGTCATATTGACGCACACGTTCAAGAAGTCGTATTCGCCTTGTGTATCTAAAACGCGCATAGTTCTAGTTTATATTTATGGGGTTTCAGATAGCCCTGGCGTAGGGGACCTTTTACCACAAATGGCCTAAAGATATTAGCTTTAATGCTTGGTTGATACCAATTTTTATTTATAGGTATAAAGTGAACAAAAGTTAACATTTTTATAGACGATTAAAGTTTATTAACATAATTATGATGCCTATATATGAAGAAAAGTAATGTATTTACGAAATGTTGTGTAATTTATAAAAGCATTCCTTGCACATATGTGGTTTCTCGGGACATCCGGCACATATATGTAGCGTACTGTCTTGGCCATTTTCATTGCATATTTCCTTCCCTGCGCCTCAGAAAATCTTGTACAACAGTTCTTGCAACGACTTCGAATTATTTTATTGTCGTTATTTGCAACTTATAACTTGTGAGTGCTCCGTGGTGGTCTTCCTATATTATCATTGGACGGCTGTCCATAGTGAAGGAACTGTGAGCACAAATTTTCCCTGAACTTTATTATGGATGTACTTTTTCTATTGACTTTATTATAAAGAAAAAGCGAATTTACGACTGTTGTTCCCATTAAAAGCTCTACTGCTACCTTCCGATACCATTTCAAAGCTTTTCTGACAGCCGAAGAATAAGACGATTTCTGATCAGAGATATCTATGAATGATTTGCCTGCATTGTATTCCATAATGGCAACGGGTCTTTGTCTCTCTTGATCAGATTTTTCTGTACTGTGTTTTGTAGTAAGCATAAGGACATCACGTTTGTCCTTCCACTTGAATACTGTTATGCCATCGTCACTTTCCATGCCTAGGATTTGGCCGCGCTTTAGAGAAGTTGTGATGACATTTTTGGGGTTGCATTTACGATTACTACGTAAAGTCCCAACAAGATGAGTTGAACGTGCTAATAGTCTTCTCACCAATCCCACACTAGTGTACCAGTTATCCGTAACTAAAATCCTGCCAGAATCAAGTAGATTGTTCTTGAGCTCGAAAACTACTTTGTCTGCAACTGAAACTCCATCCCTTTTAGATTCTTTGCCACAATAAATTTTCATATTGTAGGTGTAACCGCCATCTCCACAAAGCTTGAATATTTTTATTCCAAACTTGTGCCTTTTTCCTTTCATGTACTGTCGGAACCGTAATCTTCCTCTAAACGGCACCATAGTTTCATCAATGCACACAGTCTCTGATGGAATGAAGCATTCTTGATACTTGCCTACCAAATAGGTGACAAGAAAACTTTGTGTAAATGATCGCCGGGAGGGCAAGTTTCATTGTCGGCAAAATGCCACATGTGGAGTAAAATTTCGAATCTATTTCTGGGCATAAACTTACAAGCAGGACTATTATACAATTCAGATCGACTCCAGTAGTGAGACAGAGAAGGCTTTCTGTCTAGGCCCATCCACAGAATTATGCCCAAAGAAACATGAATTTCAATTGCACTGGTTTCTACCCAATCATTCAGACGAGAGTGCCGTGGTATTGAATCATCGCAGATTTTTTCAGTTATTACTTGTTCAGCGTAACGATTTGTTTCCCGCACCATAAGGTCAATTAGTTCATCATCGACGAATAACTTGAATATTTCAAGTTCTGTTTTTCCAATAAAGGTTTCCACGATGTTGGAGGGTATTCCGTGGGTTGTATCACAATCGAAATTGTTTAGGCTTCGACCAGAAGGGTTCCTCCAGGTTATATTATCCTTATCCACGAAAAGTGTCTTGTTACTATCATTCCTAAGTGGAATATTGACATTACTTGAGGTGCACTCTCCAGAGTCTGCAGATATTCCATGGTTTGGTATACCTAAAAAAGTTTACTTGGATAAAATATTGTGAATAAAAAGTACATTTTGTCTCACATGTGTCAAGAACAACTCTGCGAGTTTCAGCGAAATTAGGAAAGTTGATTTTTTTTCCTACAATAATTGGAAAATATAAAAAATAAAAAAATTAATGTATTTTTTGTTATTTACCTTTTGTTGCAATTTTTGTAGATGGACGATCCTCGTATTCCGAACTATCGGACGTGCTTGGTCTATCGTTTTTGTCAGCCTCTGAGTCGTCGACATCCTCAGCAGAGACACTGCTCATACGCTCCACGTCCTCGTCACTCATATTTGTAATTTCTTCTGCCCATTTTTGTAATTGTTCGTTTTTTTTTTTCATGCCGTTTCCACGACATTTTTATTATTGAACCTCACTCAGTAAGTTTCAGAACACACAGCACAACTAAAAGTATCTTCCAAAATGGTTCGAATAACTTGTAGGGAAAATGTCAGTAAAACAACATAACCTATAAACGCACAGAAAACACTTCCTTCGCGCTATAAAATTGAGATATACACTGTACTGATGATTGACACGCTGAGACTCGACAATAGCTGACTATTTACCGAAATTCTTGCGAAAACATCCGAATCACACGAAGGGTTGCAGGGTCACGGCGCAAGGTCGACTTTTGGTTCCTACCGCGCCGCGTGCGTCATTTTGACACACCCACAAAAACACGCTGAAAAAATCCTGGCATAGAGGCAAGTATATCCAAATTTCCTCGGCAGTTAAATTAAATTAATTATTTACAACTAAAATGCTATTGGATAGTTAGGGCAAACATACAAAATCTAAAGTAGTTGCTCGAAATGTAAACCCAATTGTTCAATACACAATTCACATCTACGAATGATCGAACGTGGTATAGCATTATTCAAATAAGGCCTTATTTCATCACATGCATTCCTGATTCGGTCTATTAGCATATCTCTTGTGGTTGCGGGAGTCTGGTACACTTTTTCTTTTAGAAATCCCCACACAAATAAATCTAATGGATTTAGGCCAGGGGATCGTGGAGCCCAGGCGACTGGTCCTCCATGGCCGATCCATCTTTCTGGATAATTTTCGTCCAGCCAGTTTCTAACTATTCTCGAATAATGAGCTGGACAACCATCAAGCTGGAACCAGGCCAATCTTCTTAAATCTAACATAACATCATCCCACATATTTGCATGTTCAGCCTTTAAGAATTCCAAGAAGGTCGCAGCATTTAACCTTGCAGGAAAAAGGTAGGGGCCAAATAGTCGACTACGGTAGATACCAATCCACACGTTCACATTAAATTCATGCTGAAAATTTCTTTCCCGTACTGCATGCGGATTTTGATGCGACCAAATATGTTGATTATGAAAATTTACCACTTCACGTCTAGTGACCCATCGGTCCATAAAACGTTACTTAAAAACTTCCTATTATTATCAGTTCTATTAAGAATCCACTGACAAAATGTGATTCTTCGTTCTCCGTCCCCTTGCACAGGTTGCAAATGGTAAGGACGTCTATGGTCATTTCTAAGAACACGGTGGACATGGCTTACTGAAATTCCCAAGGCACAAGAAACTCTCCTTAAATTTGTGGTCGGATCTCTATCAAACTCACGCAGAATCATGCGGGTAAATCTGCGCTGACAAACATTTACGTTTTGATCCCTTTGGAGATTTCCAAAACCATTTTCAATTATTTGGCGATGCACTCTTACAAATACTGAGCGAGTTGGATGTCGTCTGTTTGGAAATCTTTGTGCGTATTCTCTGGCTGCTTCTGCTGCGTTTCCATTTACAAAGTCATACACAAAATGAATATCCGCTAACTCTTGATTGGAGAATAAAAATGGCATTTTTATAAAACTTACAAAAAAAACAGGTAAAAGAAACTAAATTTCGTGCATTCACAATTGCAAAAAAACGTTTCAGGTTTCAACAGACAACAAAACTAACTGTCAACTAATTGACGTTTAACCTTATTCTGCTTTCAATTTCAAAAATATTTGCAGGCGCAGCCTACTTCTAAAAATTATCGAGATACTGACTTTTTAACGTTATTTTATCATAAATAATTAAAAATGCATCGAACCTTAAAAATCGAAATAGCTCAAAAACGGCTAACTATAACGAAAATTCACAAGATAACTTTTTTATGTTGAAAAGTGCGAGGAATCAGTTTTTTTATTCATAAAGAAAAAAATTGCACTAAGAAAAAATTTTCGGTTATTTTAATACACTACAGGTACAGTAGAGAGCGCCCTCTAGCGGATACAGTACAACTATGCCCGTGGTTCGTTTTGTCGTACCAAAAAACCCCTGTATACCAATTTTCACTGTTATACATCAAATATTGTTCGAAATATTTAAAAAAAACTATTTTAGAAAGTAAATTTAAATACCCTGTATTTCGGAAGCCACGCATTTTTCGACCCATGTATATATAGACTTTATGCATTCATTTCAAAAGTTCTATCGAATCTTAAAGTTATGCAACAATAAACTGAAACACCCTGTATATAGCATTATTCTCACACCTTTTGTATCGCTTGTGCAGAACATTTTCCTTCCTCACGTCCTTAATAATCTCAGCGTTGAACCAAGCTGGAAATTTTCTTATTTTACGACTTGTTTTGCGGGCACATAATGTGAAGATTATTTCTGAGGCATACAGTATACGTATTGAAGGATCTGCTACGAAACTTCTAATTACTACAGATAGAATAAGTGTGGAGAAAGGCAAGAACCCTCTAGGCCCAAAATCTGGAAAAACAAAACATCGTTCCACTTTTTAGGCTGATGTGATTCGTATCAAAGACGTTTGGCAATATGTAGTTTTATAAGAAAGTTGGTTAGACGTATATTTTTCTCTGAATTGTTCAAAACGCCGCCTATGTTGTCGCGTCCTGCAATTCAGTTCCATCGCTCAAATCGGGCACTGTTTGCAAGCACGATCCCGTCTCGCTGGAAGTTTAAGTTTGAGTTGGGAGTCTTGGGCACGATGGCAGCGTGGTGGTGCGGCGGTTCGTCGCGATTCTGATCACGTACGCAGACACCGGCTAATTGCACTTCTTCCCGAAATACTTGAGGAGATTTAGCTGCGCAGCGGCGCCTCCCAAACCGCCTCTCGTTGCCTCCCAACGGCCGCTTTATTACATGTTTTATCTGTCCCAGCAACCATTTGCCTACGTGTTTCTTAATTACTTCATTACACTTAAACCGCGCTCTTATTTCACTTAACTCGTTATCTATTTTCAGAGGCGGGACGCAATTGGGCTTGTTTAGTAATATCACTTGAACGCTCATATTTGAACCGAGGACGTCCAAATCTCTCCCCAGTATTAACATTATCACTATTGCTTTTAACCGCAGGCGTTCGTGGCGACCACTTTCCGGACCCCATCTGCATCCTCTTGCTTCTGAATTAGCTGATATAAAAAACTATTTCTGTCACGTAGACAGCAATGCATAATTAAAAAATATTGTTGCCGCCTGATTTGTAACACAAGGACACCAACGTGTGATGCGGGCGATGCGCTGCGGATGCGAAATAATTTTTTATACCGAAGCAGCCACGTAGGCAGAAACCTGAGTACCATGTCACTGCGGCTGCTATGAGAAGCTTGACGAAACTTTGATAATCAGATTTTTCAACTGCCTATAGTTATTAGAAGTGGTGGAAGTCTCTTCATGTACACTATTTCGTATCAGGAAGTTCGACACGCTTAGAATGATATGCCGAAGTCAGGCGGGTCTGTCTGGTAGGCCAGAACGCACGGCGTCAGCGTGGCAGAGAGCTCTGAGGCGCAAAGCCCATAACAGTAGAAGAGCGCTAAATCTCCGACGTGCGAAAGGGTCCCGAGATTGTCCGTTATAAAAAAGTCATCAGCTCAGCCCTCTTCTGAGCAGCATCTAGCATGGATAATATAGTCGGGGTGGCAGCACCCCAAAATATATAAATTCGAACGACCTGGTGGACGCGTAGAAGGCACTTGCTATAAAATAACTAAGTCTTGTAGCTGGTCTGCTGCAGCTGGGGAAGGCCTCCCAGGAACGCCCTGCGGTGAGAAAAAAATCGGAAAAAACAAGCAATAGTGAGATTTGCCATGGCACACGGGGATGTGCTACTTGTTACCCTTTTTCTGCGGAGTTGCCACATAACCCCCTTTTCTTTTATTCGGTAGCAAGCGTAAGGAAAGGCGGAAGGGTGGGGGAAGATATAACAAAGGAATGCGCGTAAACAATCTATATATTATATATAAAAATGAATCCCGTGGTCACGCCATAGCACGAGAGCGACTTTACCGATTTCATTCATCTTTTTTTTTAGTTTCCCAATGCTGTATTGCAAATTGGGAAATCATTGAACACCTAATGATTATTTAAGCTACGGGTGTTTGACAGTTTGCTGGAGCATGGAGCACGCACAGCAGAAGGAAAATCTCAAGCATAAAAAGAGACAGGCACTCCTCTCCTATTCCAACAGCTATTGACAGTTAGCTATGTGAGAGAAAATTTCCTATGAAAAGACGGTGCTTTCGTTTCTGAACTTACATTCCTATACCATCCGTACTTTGTGATGGCCCCTTCAAAAGAAACTGCAGTGTTGCCTAATTGTTATCTTTGTCAGTTAACTCTATAAATAAAAATGCCGAAGGAAAATACGTTTCCTCTGCTTAATTGACTTTCACTACTCTATCATTTTGAACTTGACAGCTCGCACGCCGCTAATTTATATTACCGTTCAACAGCGTTTATCGATGAAGGAATATTGTTTTGTTTAATTAGTAGTGCACAGTCCATTCGATTAGAGCTATTATCTGGTTTTCAGTTCGTTCAGTGAGTTTTTTTTTTGTTGAAAAATAATTAAGAAGTCTCGCATTTAATCTCAATCGAGCTTCATCCAGTTATGACGTGGCAATCGATTACAGTTCACAACAAATCGTAGCTATTGGACCAATGAACGTTGTGAGTCCACATTGCAAGGATTTCAAGTTTGAAAAGTAAAGCGCCTGGATTATGTTGCGTCGGTGGAAAGATCCAATTGACTCCACTGGTATCACCACCAGAGTCACTGCATTCATTGGTTTCCAGAAATGGGCCAGATTCTATACATTTTTGACTCATACCCGGCAATACAATAACTGCTTCCAAATTACGTCATTTGGCGCAACAAAATTCATTCCACATAATTTTATGCCTAACTTCAAGGTAAGTTGATGGGAGGATGACAGTGCTGTCAACATATTTTGCTAGCCACATAACGGTACGATCACTTCGCTATTCAATTATCATATACCGTAT